CTTATAGCAAATATACGTTTGCTTCATCGACAACCCCTCCAAAGGATATGATTTGGGAAAAGGCCTGGCCTTCGTTGAAATTCACATTTGCCCTGTGACCCAAAGGCACTCGTGGCAATGTGGCCGAGTGGTTTATGTGACAAGCTCCCAGTCTGTACTATCACGGTTCGACTCCCGCTGGAGGTGTTGATAAGACCAGTTGATGCGAGGTCGAAACTGCAGTCCACTTCTGTCTGGATGAGAACAACTTTTGGGAAAGCAAGGTTATGCGAAATTCGAAGAAAACCTTAGTTCTACTCATATCATTGTGGGAAAATCCTTCTACCAGTCCTTCTTCACCTTAACCGAAATTTAGTTGGGTGTGGTGACAAAGCACAGGTTTGCTTTATCAGCATTTCGTCACAAAATTGGGACAACCGAAAAGCCTAGGCTTCCTTGAAATTCACGTCTGTCCTGTGACCCGAGGGCATTAATGACAGTCTGGCGGAGTGGTTAAGGCGACGAGACTATGCGCTTCATTAACACAAGCCGGGTTCGAGTCCCATTGGGGCTGATGATGAGATCAGGACAAGAGGATAACTGCAGTCCAGGTTAGCCTAAATGAGAATATATTTTGAGAGGCAGGGCTAAGTGGAATTCCCTGGAAGCGTGAGGCCTACTTACATGATTGCGGGAAAATTCAGCTATCAGTCCTTAAATCATCTTAAATGAACTTGAGTGACCAATTTCTAAAACAATGATTACTACTACTACTTATACTACTACTATTACTACACCTACTATCACTATTGTTGGTATTACTACTACTATCATCATCACTACTATTATTAATACTAATAATATATGTATAAAACAAGGATTACTACTACTACTACTACTATTACTGCACCTACCATCACTATTATTGGTATTACTACTACTATCACCATCTCTACTATTACTAATACTAACACTATATGTGTAAAAAAGACGCCTCCCTTAACCCATTTAAGAGAGGCAACAGCTTGAAGGAATCGGAGCAAGCCAGGATTCAACGAGGGTTAAATAGGAACATTGGTCATATCAAGAGGCATTGAAAATAGGAGGATGAAGCACTAGGGGCTAGGACAGAGTGACGAACGGACACACGGTGGAGAGGATTGCCTTGACTTGTCACTTGCAGTTTGGTGCTAAGGCTGGCGCATGACAGTGACGATGTCGAATCTGCAACCAGCTCCGATACCGGCGAAACGGTCTGGAAAGAGCCCAGGCAACGGTCAGCTGGCGTCGGGTCATGACTACACTCTCAGCCGACTAGGCAGAGGGAAGCTCCTTTTAGGTTGTTCCGACAAGAGGATTACATCAACGCTACACCAAGACAGGAGACTGCAACCAAACCGGAGGCCATTCCAGTTGAACCATCTCTTCTACAATCCATTTGCACGCTTCGCAATTACGCCAGTCCCAGAGCAGAGTCAATCGTAATACTGTCTTTGATGTCAATTTTATACGCATTACAAAGAGTGCATCTGCCTACAACCACACTTTTACAGCTCTCTTTGGGGCTAAGTCAAGAGGTGACCGGTCCCTGAACCTCAAAGGACAAAACTTCTGAAAGCTTTTTTAATCCCACGACTCATTACTCTCGGTCACCAGTAGTCACTCATCTAATTTACTTCTTTTCGTCAAGTTAATATATTCTACATTCATCCGGTTACTCATACCCTCTGTACAGATTAATGATAACATCCAGCGGTTTATGCCTGCTGTGGACAGACTAGCCCCGGTTCTTTCATTTTTTCATGCGCTCAGTCGATAACACATTTGCTAGTCTAGCGCCATATTTCAGTGTCAGTGTTGCCAAGGTGAGCTCATCTATTGCATAAGCACAAGCATCCATTGCTTAGGCACGGCTATCACTACGCTAGGGCCGCAGACGAATTAAAGAGGTTTAAAGAATAATGAGATGTATTCACCCTATTTCGTGTAAGGTGATGAAAGACTGGTAGTAGAATTTCCCCACAATGATATGAGTTGAGCTGACGTTTCCATT